CTTCTACAAAACCCAAGAGTTTTCTAAGCCCTATTTTCCTAAATGTTTACATTTCCTTCCCTGATTATTCTTGCAGTGTTTAAAACAAATCTAAATTCATTTTGAAATGCTTTGAAACATTCAGCACATAAAACTCAAGGTCATATTACTCAACTTCCAGTTTGTCTACCTCTTGCATGTGGAGAAACAACAATTAAAAGGTGTAACTTAGAAAATTCTTTTTAAGACTTTACAAGAATGCAAAATTGTTTAAGAAAAGTCAGAAGTTATCCAAAGGGTGCTGTTTTGGGATAAAATAATTTTTCTTTTTTTCTTAGAAGACGTTTTACTATTTTCTTTCTCAGAGCCTAAAGAATTAAAGAACAATATTGTTATGAGACAAACCTGATTATAAGGAGCCTGGACTGGATTTGTTTTTCTGGAACTGGCTTTGTTGTCCTCTGACAAAACAAAATTAAAAAATGATAAATACATAGCTGCCACTGTGCCTTGAAAATAAAATTTTTCAGTCTTTCAAATTTTAAACTGCAAACTCATATGTTGCCTGAGGTGTTTTTCTTAAATTGCTGCCTGTGTGTTCCTAAACCACCTCTTCTTTTCAGTGCTCTGTCAAATTACTGAGCTGCCTGCTGAGATTCAACAAGGTGATAATTGTATCTGAACCATAAACACATTGTGCTTTAAAGTTTTGACTGTTTCTTTAGAAATAATAGTAAATGAAGGACTTAATGTAAGTTTTTCTGGTAAATTGTAAATTTTAGTTGAACATATCTAAATTAGGTAAATTCATGTCATCAAATGTTTAACAAGGATCTTGAATGAGTAAGATGTATGAGCATACACTGGCAAAAAAAGAAAACTATATATGACATGGTCTTAAATCTCAAGGAACTTATAATTAAGAAAGGGATAAGTAAATTTTTATTTAGCAGACGAAAGTGAAAAGATACGTGCTGATTGGTATGCACTTGAAGAGTCCTTTTAAGAATATTCCAAATAATTTCTCTGAAGGTTCTATGGTAATAAAGCAAAACAAGAAACCCAACTTAATTATCTAAACCAGCTGGTTGGATAAATGACTGTATCACATTAAGTTGCTACTTTACCAAATGACAATCATTGTAGCTGAAAAAATCCAGTAAAACAGTATGTATGGCCATTGGTACAATCAGCCATTTTCCCTTTTATATCATCAATCTCCTTCAAATACTTAAGTGTTTACAACATTCAAGGCACCACACCATGGGCTACGAAGAGTAAAAAGAGGCTTTAAAACACACTGTCCTCAAGGAAATTTTAGTCTAGTTGGCTGGACATGGTTTCTTCCCATAACATAACTACAAGAATTACAGAATTCCAAAGGAGGAAGAACTAACTTGCAGCTAGACTTGTCAGGGATGGCACAGGGAGACTGAAGGATTGAGAGAATTTTGATGGAGGTAGGGGAAAGGGTTTGGATATTTCAGGTGAGAGAATGGCACAAATTCAAGTGTAATGCAAAAGGGGCAGAGAGCAATTTTAGTGTAAAGCGATGCTTTTGTTAATGTTAGAAAAAAGGGTTCCTTCCAGCAGTCATGGGAGATGAGGCCAGAGTGAATGTTGAGGCCATATTATAAAAGCTTTGAATACAGGCCAGGAAGTTTGTACTTTATTCTATAAGCACAAGAGTTTCATGGAAAGCTTTTGAGCAGTCAAGTGGTGTTATCAAAGCATCCGTTTAAGAAGATGTTTCCTGGAGTGATGCACAAATCATTTTGAAGACAGGACAGTCTGAGGGCAGAATGGTCAGGTAAGAGGCCGTGGCATCAGTCTGGGTGTGAGCTGGTAAGGACCAGAATCAGGTAGGAGTTAGGAATTAAGGACAGGCGAAATCTGTATGTGCCTTTTTTCTTTTAACGGAACATTTAGCATATGACTATAAATGGACAACATCATAAGAATTCCAAAGCTAATTTTTTCATAATCTTCATTGTCAATGAGCAAACATTAGTGGAATGATTATTGGAGTGTCCTGTAAAAAAGTTACATGCAGTCTTTTATCTGCATGATGTTATTGTAAGTATAACCCAGTTTTACTCATGTTCCAAGTAAGATTTTTTTTCCAAGTAAGACATTTTGTTGAGTTTAGTGCTAGGAAAACTTGGTGTCCTTTCGAGGATCTGGTATATTTTCTTCCTTCTCATAAGAGCTATGAAGCTCATGCAGCCTTCTCTGAATGCCTGTAGGTTCCAAACCAGACTTTCAGCTTAACCACTGCAGCTGTGTTGATTTTAGACCGTAATCTCTGTTTTCTTCTTTGTTAGGGCTCTTCCCCTCCCTTATCATTACTCTTCACTAATCTTACTGTCTTGGTTTCTCCTCTCCTCTCTGTAAGTGCCAAATGATTTTTCAAAGAGACAAAGGATAAGTACATTCCATATGCCAATAGCTCTCCCTCCTGTCTCCACTCAGTTTCTTCCCTGAACTCCAGCATGGCATTTCTACACCTCGCTTGCATTTTTGCACAGCCTCTAAAGAGATGGCCCCATCTACCATCTCTCTTATGTCCAATCTCCATCCTTATCCAAATGTGACCTTTCAAGCAACAGCGGCCGCATCCCCTGGGGACTTTCAACAAAAATGCAAACTCTTCGGCCTCAGCCCAGAGTACCCGAACCAGAAACACTGCAGGTGGGGCCCAGCACTCTGTGTGTAAGCAAACTCTCCAATGACTCTGAAACATGTTGAAGTTTGTGGACCCCTGCTCTACAGAAAGACTGCGCTCTTTTCTTTCTCTCCCTGTCTATGTGTTCTCTAGCTCACGGTGTCTCTTGTCCACTCTGCAGGTTTACTCTGTTATCCGGGCAAATCCTTTATACACTTCTTAGAATCATTACAAGTTCTTAAAGGAGTTTATCTGATTACTGTAGCTAATAATTACCTCCACCAAAGTCAGTTAAGCATTAATGGATACCTTACCTCATGGTCACTGGCTGGTCCATGCTTGAGAATACCTGACAACACCTGGTCCTGTCAGTGGCCAGCTCTTGAAAAACAGACCAGCACCACTGCCCTGGGAAGACTGCAGCAGATAAACCAGAAGAAGGCTGGTTCCTGTCCAATAAATTAATCTTTAATTAGGTAGATGTGTGCAGTATGTCTTCAGCAGAGGACTGGTTAGGATTTTCCTAGTGGGATCACTTGGATTTGAGTCCTTTGAGGAGAAACAAGAGGCAACAATTATCGCTTGATACCACTGGAGCCAGTCAGATGCAAGGCAGGCTACCTGTTGTGATATTTGAAGATGGTTCAAGTTAGGGTTGAGATGAAAGATTCTATTGTACATGACATGAACAAGGGCCCAATTTATAAGTTATACAGATGCCATCCAATCTATATCTTTAAAGAAAATGTATTGCTAGGCTAGATGTTTACATCCGTGTGTGAAGATACTATTCCTTTCCCTCCTTTTGTAAATTAAGAAAACCTTTATAAAGTCAAATGTAGTGACAATTTCAAAAACTGGATTAAAGATTCAAATTGTTCTGTCAGGGGCAAGAAGTAGCAGGGAGGGAATGAGCTTCAGTGGAAATCTCTTATTAAATTGAGGCAGAAAATAGATGGGGGCGGTTCTTGAAGTTCTGCATGTTGGTAACATAAAAAACAAGTATTCTTGCAAAACAGATGGGAGTTTCTAACATTTATTCTATCATAATTTGAAAGATGTTGGTAATCCTTGTAGCTAATAACTAGGTCGAAGGTAGTCTTGTCCTACAGTGAGTCTGGAAAACACACACACACACACACACACAGAACAAATACTTATTAGGATTTAATGCATCACTCAGTTCCTATCAGGAGCTTTTCACTTACTTGAGTCAAGGTTAATGTATTTGAAGCAATATCAAAAGTACAAGATAATAGAAGGTTAAGTACTAAATTACGTTATCCTTGACGTACTTCTCTTTGTACACCCTTGGAAATCTCATCTCTCATGACTTTATCTAACAACTATGTGGGTCAGTGTTTCTCAGTCCTGAGTAATGTAGGGATGGACAGCTGCAAAAATCTCATATTCTGCCAGGAGGGAATGAAATGATAATGAATTATTATTATTACTTTACCAAAACATGTATCAGTCTAAAAATGGACACGAATTACTTAACCTTATGATTCTTAAATGACTATAAAAACCCCATAGTTCTACAGATTAAATACAGAAAAGCTATACAGCCAACAGAATTTAAATTAATTTTGTGGCACGGATGATGTTTTGTTGAAGCAAATAATCACCACTCAAAGCCTGAGCGTGGCCCTGCAAAGGGAGCTTTCAATAGGCCTTTCTTATTAGGAGTCACATGACAACTCAGCTCTCACCACCTCTTTATTCCAACTGCTGTGAAACTATCCTTTATACAGATCCTGTGGGATTATTTTTCTTTTTTTGCCTGTGATTTGTACAAACACATTACGTGTGTATTAGCTCTGCTAGTGATATTTTCTCATGATTTGACAACAACTAATACAGTACTATGGACTGCCAACTTGATTGAAATACAAATGAAAGGTGAGAAGTGAAATCTTGGATGATACTTCATTTAAGGGAGCCACGCAGATGGTCCCAAATTTTCTTGTGACTTTGAAAAAATTGTCATAGATGTGAAAACATGAAAGCTCATTAAGAGACATAAAAAATCCTCATTATAAACTGAGGCAAGCTGTGGAGGACACAGCTGTGCCTCCCGAATTCTCTACAAAGAAGCAATGGTGCCCCAGCCACCAGCAGACCACCTTCAGCTCTCAGTTCCTTTAGGGTTTGCTCAGCTGCAAAGAGCTGCCCACATTCAAGGACTGATGGAGGCAGCGGTATGAAAACTTGGCTAGTTCATTTGAACTAGGACAAATCTGAGGGGCCATGCATGCTCGAGACTCCTTGCGGACTTGACAGAGGCTTTGTCAGCCTGCACTGAAGTTCCATGTTCCTTGCCCAATCCCTCTTCCCCCTCCCTCCCACTTTCTCCCTCCTTTCCTTTATAATCCCTCATATATAGCCCCCATGCCAAACTCCGTCTTAATGTCTGCTTCTGGAGAACTAGTTAACAAGAGCTCCCAGGAATCTCTCTGAGGAGCCCCAGGAGCAGTGAGAATGCCACTTTGGTAGCCCTGATTCTTCCTGCAAGCTTCCAGTCTAGAGCTCAGCTTCCGACGATAATTCATGCCAGCACTTCACATTCAACAGGAGCAAAGCTGATGCATAACTGATCTCTTGAGCTTGTGCCTCACAACATCTTATGGTTTTTCCTTGCTTTATAATATATTTAATGGCACTACCATCATATTCCCACAGGATCAAAACCTGAGAGGTAAGTTTTGATTCCTCACACACCTTACTCTCTACATCCAGTCTATTATTCATGCTTCGTAACGTGCGAAGAACTTTACTCATTTCTCCAGGGATCCAGTACCCTCTAGACAAGGAGTGCAGCTGAAATTATAATGGAGAGCTTACTTTGCTCCTGAGATGTCTAGTCTCATTAATAGCTTTGAGTTTTCCTTCCCATTGATTACACAGACTTTAAAAGACAAAAAGCACATTTTTCTCATAAAGGACACATACACAAAATTCCAACCCACAACCATCCACTTATTTTAGACAACAATATATTAGCTCACATATTACATAGAGAATAATGCTTTGAGAGGACGGCAGCAAATGCCAGAGGCTTCACTCTTCCTTCTGCATTTAAGATTAGTTAGTGCAGTGCATTAAAGCATTTATTTTGTCCCAGTTTAAGATAAAAATACATTCAATTTTCTTTGTCTTTTTAATTTTTACACTGGACTAAAGAGTAAAGAAAACCAAGTCTTCACCAATGCCCCAGTAACAACTGTATCATATAGAGACTAAAACATGTGTGAATGTTATTATGCAGTTTAGAAGTCTACGAAAAATCCACGTCTTTTAAAGCAGTCACCTCACTGAAAGGTACTGATGTTTAGAATGGGAGGTTGTGTTGTCAGTTGAAAGTGAGACACTGAGATGTTTGTGAGGGAGGAATTGTCGGGAAAGCAGTAGAACATCTCCTGCCCGTGGGTGCAGTCTTGAGGGTTTGTGACGGCCATGACGAACCCAACAACCATCACCACAGCACCGATAGGAAGCATGACACACGACATAATCTTATCTGAGTGTGTCCTCCGTTCTTCAGACAGTTTCAGATAACATGCTGATGGGATGATAAAAATCAGGGGAGCTGCACACAGCACACCCTGGGTATTGAAAACAAGAGACAAGATAATGTTACCATTTAGAGCATTCCTTGGACAGTTTTAAAAAATATATACAAAATGTATTTATCATTGTACATGCTAAAAGTCTGATAGGTTCAGTTAAACCAAATGAAGGAAAGAAAAATAATTCCAAGAAAGACTTAGGAATAGGTTTTTCCCTTTTGGATGGTATATTTATAAATGGGAAAAGTTAAATAATATACTAGTAAACTAGACTAGAGAAAAATAATCAGAAAAAATATAGAAAATAAAGCAGATGGTAAGACTGACTCCTGGCAAACTCTTAAAATTTCCCATATTTTCAGTCACATTCTATTTCCTTATACTCTTCATTCCAAATTGCTATGTATCTACCATGTCATTCACATCAGAGAGATCTGTTTATCAATTGTGAACAAAAAGGGACTACTGAGAGGTGCATGTAGGCCTTATGACTTCTCTCTCCTTTACTTGAGTTTCTGTGAAAGGAGGTGCCTGGCTGTATGAGGAAGGAAAACTGTAACCCTAAGGGCACTTAGCATGAAATAGCATTTCTAAATCCTCTTTCAAGTCAAACTAAACACATTAATTACCCTAGGAAACTGACAGCAGAACTAAATAACTATGATTCATTCACCATCCCCCAACACTAGCTATGGATAAGTCCAACCTGAGGGGGGGATGTCAGACTGAAAATTATGGGGAGTAGTGTTGTCTATTATAAAAAGACCACGAGTTATTGACTTCAAAGGGAAAGAGACTTTCCCCTTGAGGAGGCCAAATCTGCACTAGCAGCTTTGCAAAAAGAATAATGTTGAAATTTAATCCATTGTAGGTAATATAGTTTTCTTATTATGTTAAATATTAATTATATAGTAAACAAAATATAACATATTAGCAAAGTATATTACATATAATCATACGGCAAATAATACTTTCTTAAATCATAAAACATAAGTTTTTTAAAACAGATACAATAACAAATATATGGTTTAGAATTAAAAGGAAATCTTCCATAAAATACGTATTGTCCATATTTTAAAAAGTTATCACAGAAGTTTGTAAATATTCAGAATAGTAGGAAGAATAGAATAATAAAATCTTATACACCAATCACCTATACTTTGAAAGTTTTTGACACGTTATTTTGGTAGACTGTCCCCAGGGAAAAATCATAGAAAACTGATTTTGAAATTGGATGATTAAAAGAACACATTATATAAAAACAGTTTTAAAAGAAAGATTTTTAAAGTATCATCACATACTAAATTTATTGTGTTTTATACTAAGTACTATTCTCATGCCAGAAATATACAATTATGATTTTAAAAATATAACTTTCTTATTGTTTATAGAAACAGCAAAAGTCCAGAGAGATACCAATTAAGGTGGGGCACACTTAAATCAGACTAGCCTGGCAGCATCTAAAAATCTGGGGAAGAATAAAAGGGACCATACTTAATGGAAAATATTTCTACTGAGATCAAATGTGAGAAAATACTAAGAAGCACTAGTTTAAAATATATAGACAATACAATTTTGCCATTCACAGCACCTGAATACAAACGAATACCTACAAAGTTACACAGTGGATAAAGGATTAATTTTCATATGGCCGGAATTCAATGAATTATGGATTCCTTAGGCTCCATCATGACACTTGAAATTGATAATGGTTTTAAAATTATGCAAAATACTGTAGAACTCAATCTGTGCTTATAATATTTATTATCCTCTGATTTCTATGAAATAATTCTGAAAACAATAATAAAAACATATATGTAAGTGTGTGTGTGAGTGTGTGCGTGCATGTGTGTGTAGGGAGTGTCTTCTCTTCACAGGAGCTAACATGTGAAGCTACGTCATCTGGAACTGTGGAGTGTGAAAGTGCTATCAGGATGAAAACTGCCACCAGCTGCTGCTAAGACGCTGCCATCAGTCAGCATCCTGGGACTCTTCCAAACCTAACTTGCTGGGCAGTGCAGAGCACTGGGTGTTCTGTTTATGTCATAATTCTTAAGAGTTGAGAAAGTAGCAATTAGTGGGAAAACTATATAGCTGATGTTTGTACTGGAAGAAGTCCAGTTGAGTATCTTGTCTAGAGAGCAGTTACTTTCCTAATATTTGAAAGCTCCGTTTTGCTAGAGATTGTTGTTAGGATCCAAGATCATTAATAAAATGATAGAACAGTTCCATCTGCTCTATTCTCTATAAATTAGTCCGACTAATTTGACCTGTTTAATCTAGCTTTGCCAAGGATATACCACTGGTTTTGGAGTAATTTTTGAAATTTCTTGACAGGACATAAATACCATAGCTGTTTATTAAAAAGACAGGAAAATGTAGCCTTATTTATAAAGTCAGGGTAGCACTGTCCCTTGATAATAACACTACTGATGCCTGGATATTTTGCAGTTAGCAAGAGGGAAATAAACAGAAGGTGTCAAAGATTTTTACTGGCAATACAGAGTGGAACAGTATCTGAATTCTCCGACCTGAATAGCAACCTCTCAAATGATGCAAGGAAGCTGAAAACTAAAAGAATGCTATACATCTTTAAAATTTTTACTTTGTAGTCAATCTGGACTCATGAATTGTGTTCCTATACCTTAAAAAGCAACTCTAGCTCAGGAGGTCTTTGACAGCCAAAGCCACAGCTTGCTCACTCTGTATGTGGGCTCTCGCTGGGTACCTGGTCTGATTCCTTCCTTCCACTGCAAGCTGCACACGGCACTGATTGGGCTGGTTACTCTGGCCACAGGCAGCAGCTGCTTCATCTGTTCTCTTTGTACTGCTGCAAGCAGAGACCCATAGGGCCCAATTACTGCAGGTGCCTCTTTTTTCCAACCGCAACACTAGTGCCGAGGGGCTGGATTCTTATTACTCAGAATGGAACTTAGATTTATTTTATTTGTTTCTAAAATGAATCCTCTAAAATGGAAGGTGTGTTTGCCTTAGAAAATATATCATTGTTGTCTGCAGCCATGAAAACAATGAAATAAAAGGGAAGCTAAGTTCTAAATGGGGTTTGGCTTCTTAGTAAATAACTAATATAACCCTGAATAATTTATATTATTTTAGTTATGCTAAGTATAGCATTTCCCTAACTTTGCAAGTTGAAGGTCTGATTCTATTACATGTTTCATCTGTAAATATCCTTATTCTACTTAGTCATGATTCAGAAGCCACAATAGAAAAGAATTCCTAGAGTACTACAATTATTAACTAAGGTAAAAGCTATTAGCTAAAAATTATGAACTTAGATGAGAAACTTTTGATTTCATCTCTTCATATTTATTTTAACCCATTATTAAAATCTATGCCTATATTTTATGAATTATTCTTAACCTCACTTACAGGTAAACTCAATGCATAGATTTTTTAACTTAAAAATGGGTAGAGAAATAAACACACATTTTACACAGTTTAAAGCCTTAGGAAACCTCAGACTAGCATAATGATTAAAAATGTGGGCTAGAGGGTTCAAAAGCCTGCGTTCACATCCTGATTCTACCACTTAGTGTGACCTACTTAAGTGTCCATTAACAGATGAATGGATAAAGAAGAAAACGTGGTGTGTGTGTGTGTGTATGTATATATATATATAGATAGATAGATAGATATATAAAATGGAATATTACTCAGCCATAAAAAGAATGAAATGTGCCATTTGTAACAATGTGGATGGACCAATAGAGCATTATGCTTAGTCAAATAAGTCAAACATAGAAAGACAAATACTGTATGCTATCACTTATATGTGGAAACTAAACAAAAAAAAACAGTGGGTATAACAAAAAAGAAACAAAGTCATAGATACAGAAGACAAACTAGTGGTTCCATGTGGGGAGAGGGAAGGAGGCAGGGGCAAGATAGGGGTAGGGAATTAAGAGGTACAAACTACTATGTATAACATAGTAAGCTACAAGGGTATATTGTATAACAGTGCAAAATATACCCATTATTTTGTAATAACTTTAAATGGAGTATAATCTATAAAATGTTGAATCACTAAGTTATATACCTGAAAGTAACATAACATTGTAAATCAACTATACTTCAATTAAAAAAAAAAACTAGTGTGACCTATTTAATCACTCTAATCACTCTGTGCCTCAGTTTCTTCATCTGTAAAATTAATGCGATTAAGGAAGATAATGAATGCAAAACACTTGTCACATAGTAAATACTGCACACACGTTAGCTCACACTATTGTTCAGAAGCGAAACACCACATGCTTTAGTTACTTCAAAAGTGTCGCATGACCTGACTTGCATTACCGACAGACATGATGCCTGATCTGGCTTTATTAAATATGACAAATGCCTACACAAAACGGAGTTGAATAAAAACCTGAATATGACATTGTACATACCAAAAGACTGGAAAAATACACACTCAGGTAGTCTTGAAGAGAATGGAAATCTTAGATTTTATTACTTCCTACAAAGTGCTTTAAAACTAGTGTAATTGAGTTATTAGATGATGACAATTTAGCACCTTCCCTGTATTTTATGAATGTTTATATTACCAGGTTTTAAAAGAATCTAAGGACCTAGAATCATGTTTTAAATGCTTAAAAATAGTTCTCCAAAGCCAGCTCAGATCTTGACTTTATAACAGTTATTAACCAAATATTTTTCTTTGATTACTCTACAATACCAGAATACCATCTTAACCACAAAACATTTTCAACATAACTGTAACAGGGAATAGTTAATGTGATTATGTGCTTATAATTTTGTTTTCCAAGTGTCAGGAAGATTCACAATTGACAGAGTAATGGTCAAATTTACAAAAACATATCATTCCTGGAAAATAAGCAACATGTGTATGCTTGGTTAACTTAAAGGGAACAAGAAAATTCTTTAGGCTATCAAAATAGTGAGTGGTAAAGCAGCTGATAATCATATTTTCTCTCATGTCACAATCCTACAATATTCCAACAAAGATGCAAACTCAAATGAGACATTTCACAAAACAAGAAATAACAGAGCTGGGAATCATGCTGATCATCTCCTCAGCATAATTAAAGGATTACCATTATTATTATCAACACAAACAATTTTTTATAACACTTAATTTCCTGGTGCTACACTAAAGAATGTCTCTGATGTCTAGTAGCATTTGTAGAAAGAGTTCCTCAGCTGTGTTCCCAAGGGGCAATTGCCCACATGGTAATTTGAACACTGTGTTCTCAGCCCTGTGCTATATACTGAAGAGGATGGAGAAGGCAGCTAGGTACCATTCCTGTCTTCAAAGAACTTGCACTTTGGTAGGGAAGGCAAGTGTATGGACAGCCCAAATAATACATGATACAAGATAATACAAAAATCAGGTTAGTGCATTAAGTTAGCCATTATCCATTTACCTAGATCAAGGTTGGAACATGAAATGATTCTGAGTGATCCTACTAACCTATGCAAAATTAGGAGGCAGGTAAATGTTACCTTTGATAATTGGCCATCTCTCCTATGAGCTTTCTATCTGTTGCTGGTGGAATAGATGTTTCCCTTATCCTCTGTGGTTTGGGGAAGCTGCCTACTCCCTACGTTCCACATATGCTGCGGCAAGAAAATTCTCAATAGTGTGTTCCTGACTGAATCTCCCACTGCCTTTGTTGAGAACTTCAAATCCAAAGGACATTGGGAGGAAATAATATCTTGCGCCCTGACAATAATACCTTCTTCACCTACCCCTTAACTCTCACTGGAGTGAATAAATGATAACTTGGGATCCCATTTGTAAAAGCCTGCCCTCCCTGTGTGCATGATTAATAAATGCTAAGTGGTATGATTCTGAGTAAAATTCCATGAGGACTGTAGAAAGAGAAGATTAAAGACTATAAAGTGGAAGATTCACTTCTATTCATGTTTCACCAAATGGCATCATTATCTTGCTTCCACAAAGCAGAACCAAGGAGTCACTCTTTTTTGGGTCACTTTTAAAAACTGAAACACAGTTGACATACAATATTATGTTAGTTTCAGGTGATCTGACATTTACATACTTTATAAAATGATCATTTTAGTAAGTCTAGTAACTATCTGTCCCCATACAAAGTGACTGCAATATTATTGACCATATTTCTTATGCTGCATATTACATACACAAGGCTTATTTATTTTATGAATGGAGCTTTGTACCTCTTAATCTCCTTGACCTATTTCACCCCACTCCCCACCTTCCCTCGGGCAACCGCTCGTTTGTTCTCTGTATCTATGAGTCTGTTTCCATTTTGCTTGTTTGTTTTTTTATTTTTTTAAGATTCACATATAACTAAGATAATATAGTCTTTGTCTTTCTCTGTCTGACTTATTTCATTTAGCGTAATACTCTCTGGATCCAACCATATTGCTGCAAATGAAAAGATTTCATTTTTGTGGCTGAGTAACATCCACTGCACGTGTATACCATATTTTCTTTATTCATTCATCTCTCGATGAACACAGTTTGCTTTCATATCTTGGCTACCGTAAACAATGCTGCATTGAACTTCAGGGTACATACATATTTTCAAATTAGTGTTTTCATTTTCTTTGGATAGAGGAATTGCTGAATTCCAAAAAGTCATTCTTGATGTGTCTCTCTATCCCCTTGTCCTCTCAATTAAATCTGTTGCCAAATTCTGCAATCTCTTCTCAAAAATGTCTTTTAGGAGTCCACCTACTTCCCTTTGTCTTCTTCATTGCCTATATGGCGGCTGAACTTTTAAGTTTATCTGTGAGATTGTAAGCTCCAAGAAAGCATGGATCTTTTCTGACTTCCTCCCATCCTTGTGACTCTACTATGTAGCACATAATATAATTGACCCTTAAACAACGCGGGGGTTAGGGAGTTTCTGAGCAGTTGGAAATCCATGTATAATTTATAGCCAGCCTGCCACATACTCAGTTCTTCCATATCTGTGGATTCAACCAACTGAGGATCATGTAGTACATAGTTATCGAAAACAATGTGTATAAGTGGACCCGCATAGCACAAACCCGTGTTGTTCAAGGGTCAACTGTAATTATTCAATATGTATCTGATCAACAAATAAACAAGTTAGCAGTTGCCCTAGACTTTAAATCTTTGTAAGATTTGGACAGAAATGAAAGGAAAATAATAATTATAGGAAAGGATAAACATAAACTGAAGGATAAAAGAAAGAATTAATATGGCTTACTTATAGGTCAAAAGTAAGACTGACTAGAGCTGAGGGTAGATTTTGGGAAGTCAATGGTAAATAATTTTCCATAGAAGGCAGATTATAGAAGCAATAGAGTTTATGCTTATTGGGAGGAAAGTGGAGATTTTTAAGCAAGATGGTGATAAATTGGAAGCAGAACTTAAATATCTGCTAGTTAAAGCAAAATGCCAGCATTAATTCAGATATGATATGATGAGGACCTGGATTTGGGGGGTAGAAGTAAGGATTACAAGGGAATGGCCTAGAGAGAGTAAAAAACATTTTAAAGAAAAATAACTTGGGCCAGGGTAGGTGAATGTGGGGTATGGATATAAACCTCTTGATGGGGGGTGGGGGGAGGGCAAAATTTCCCCCACTGGAGAACCATTGCTCTAAAATTATATAGTCCTATAAAGTACACAATATCATCATTATAAATATTTACTATAATATAACAAACACATTTTTATTCCACATCAGAAAGTGATACATTTGTTATGGAAAAAAATTTACCTTTTGTTGAATATAAACATTATTTTAAATGGGGTTTTTAGAAGGGAAGGAGTAATCTTCAAATGTACTTACATTGAGCTCTAAAACTATTCCAAGGCAATCAATCAGCAATGACACCAGTGTGGCTACAGTGATGATAATCACTGTTATGATTATGTGGAAAAATGGTGAAAGATTCCCACCAAAAAACACGTTGGCAATTACCTGCCAAATAAAAACAGATTATTTAGAGAGGGATTCTCGGAGGCATGCAGGATCGATTAAGAGAGCATTTCATATTATAGTAGTCAGGACTGTATAAAATACTACCAGTAAGGCAATCAATCAGATCTTAAGCCATATGAATAAATATTCCATCTTTTCCAAAGTAATTACACATACACACACAGATATCAATAACAAATATTCTTTGTTGAACTATTAGACAGGCAGTGGATTATATTACAGACACAGAACATGTCATAATAATGTGTGAATAAATACATTTCTCAAGAGAGACCTTGGGAAGTCAGCTTATCTTTCTTCTTTGAGTCCAACAAGGTTACCACTAACTACAGATGCTATTTAGATTGTTTGAATGGCCTCTAAGGAAGGAGTTACCACAATATCCTTTAATAATAATGGATGTGTAATATCCTTTACTAACAGGAAATTAATTTCATATAATCTAAATCTTATTTGATACAAGCTAAGCCTACCTTATCTTGTCTTTCCTCAACAAAAATGGAGAAGAGTTGATTACTATTTTCCATTGACACTCAGATTAGGAAAACGATCAACAGTTACCTGTTTAATGTGTCCCACACTGTGTTATGTTTTGCTAAGAGAAAATGTCTAGGAGATGGTTCCTATTCTCAGGAATTAACGTCCTAATTGGAGAGAGCCAACTAATCTAATGAAACAAACAGTGATCAATTTTTGGCAGGATAAAAAAGATCAAATACAATGTAAAACTAGAAGGAGCTTTAGTTATCTATATCTGTCTCCCTGAGAGTAATCAGCTCTACAGCATTCCTGAAACGTGCTTGCCTTACCTTGACTGGAGGCAGGGCTTGAAACATGGATGGGATTTAGACCAGAATTACAGACTGCAGCAACAGTGTGAAAAAGAGCAAAGAGGTAAGAACAGGAAAAATACCCTAGGGGGACACGGGGGAAACAGTCGAAAAGGGTGGTGATTGTGCAAAAGAACCACAAGACGAGAAGCGAAAATGGCAGGAGAGGGTCAGATGCTGGGGGACCTTAATGAAGCCAACTCTACAAGCTGTGCTAAGTAACATTCCTAAGTGAGCAACATTCCCCACAGCCTGGATGCTGTCTAACTCTGTGAATAATTTACTGGGGATACTAATCACTTTTACTCAGTTATGGTTTTACAATTGGTAATATCCTTCCAAATATTATCTTATCTAAAGTTCATTCTTATGGATGCTTCTAAGATATGATTGTAATCATACCTTAGTGGAAGATCACTTAATGGGGCAGGCTAGTGAGAGATACTTATTAGGGGTAAACAGGCTTTCTGGCTCCCTTGTACGTGGCCGGCTACTTGACCTATGAATAGAAATGGCTTTGATTATATTTATGCCAACTGTATATTTGTGTGTGTGTGTGTGTGTGTGTAGAAAGGAGAGAAAGAAAAAGGAGGTGAGTGGGTGAGGTATATACAAAGTTCCTCTGCCTAGTATTTGTTATCACGGCAGAGATCTTGATTTAGTTCTGTCTTCCTGTCATGGCAGCTAGAAAGGAAACACAAGTTCCAAGTACTGAAGACATAAGCTGTGCAGGTGGAGTGACTCAGACCATCTACGAGCAGTTCACCAGAAACCACAGGAGAATGCACCATCTGTTATTGCTGATCTAGAGGTCAGATTTGAACTTCAAGTGCTGGGCAGAAGCTAAAATAGAACCATTTCCTGCATCTAACAATAGTTAGCAAAATTTTTAAAAGTGCTTAGATTTAAAAAATATTCATAAAGTTCAACCTACATCTCCCTGTGTTCCAGGAGGAGAGCTGTCCTGTGAGTTATGCATTTGTACATGGGGACAAGTGCTAACTGTAGAGGATGCTCATAGGGCTGAACATTTCCTTATTCCTTTTCCCTGTGCAGTTGCCTATCCTCAGAATCGGCATAAAAGGTAACCACTGGTTTGCCTCTAGAAGCCTGCCCATTAGTTAGTGAATCTGAAGCTCTGTAGGCATTTCACTTCACACGTGAGACCCACGGACGTGGTGTGCTGTGTAAATAGCCTTTAGGAATAGATCCTAAGACTAAGCCTTTTCAGTGCAATTCCTGAAAGAACCACTATAAAGCAGGATCATGTTTTCTGCTAACTTGTGCGGTATATTTTCAGCTTACTGCAGCAGGGCTTCCTGACAAGCCATGTCATCCAATTTTACACAGAAATAATTAGTTCTCTTTTACCTAATCTTCCTCCACAAGTCCAGGTGGACTATATAACATAACTTGGAGGTGACTTTATAAGTACAAATATCGATATATAGATGTAAATAAATAACATACTCTTTATATTATTTTATATGGTATATAAATATAAATAAACATTTATATATACATACAAGTAAATATGTATAAATATATAAATAAATATATCTATATAAATAAATATATAAATGAAATATATCTATAAAACTAATGGTTTAAATTGAATTTTAGTTTTTCATGAAAAATAAGGTATTTTAGTTTTTTAAAAATAATAAAACTGATCAGAATCTGTTATATGGTGCCTTTAATACATATTGACTTATAAAATATCTTAGCAAAAAGACAATTTTGTAAAACATATTTTAAACCATAGTACTTACTTTTTTTGAAAGAACGCTTAAAAAAAGTTTGACTCTATTAAAGGCTGGCATTCATTCTGGAATGCAGTTGTATAAATATTTATACTTAATATAAACTAAACCACCAAACATGATTTTCAAATCCAACTTTTGAAAGCTTATCTTGTAAACATTTGAATATTACTTGTCATATGCTTGGGAATTTGCAGAATCAAATTATTTGTGAATCTTCCTAAGTTAATGTAGTAGAGAGATCACCTAGGTAAAGTGTCGGAGAGAAACTATGCTTACCTCTCTGGTCACAAAGCATTCAATTGGGTACGTCAAAATGACAGTGACGCCATAACAAAACCTTCCAAATGTTACCAGGTCATCATTTCTGCAATAATTTTCAAATAAGTCTCCTAGAGAATAATATAAAATAGATTTATTTTAACAGCTGCTGGGTATTTGAAATAAATACCTGATAAATGAGATACTGGATATTTATTAGATAAGAGAAGCTACATAAATGTCATTTAATTTAATTAATAGAATGTAAATGTCATTTAATTTAATTAATAGAATAGACTGCCAAGTCTAAATATAAGTTTTGCATTCAATAACTATGTAATTACTGCTGGATATTAAGACTAGCACAAGTTCAACTTGAAAGTGAATTCATCAGTTTTTCTCTTCTTCTTCTTGTTTGTTTTCAGTAGATAGCCTTAAATTTGTATCAACTTCTGAAAAATACTTTTATCCATTGTCTTCTTACTCACACCAGAATCAACTCCCTAAATTCCTGTGCATTGGTTTTATAAACTTGCTTCTGGTCTTTGTTTCTCGTAAGTAAGTGACTTCATTATTAAAAAAAAAAAGTCTGTTAAAATAAGCAAATTTCCTTTTGAAATGTTATTCTTAGATCAAGGACAATCCTGAAAGGAAGAGTAGACTACTGCAGGTGGGGAGCTGAATTTCCTGTATATCATGCTATAGGGTTTAATCACAAACTCAGGGCGACAGCGAGGAATTACAAACATGCAGGATCTTCCATGGTCTCTGATGAACCCAAGTGTAAATGCACTCATTCAAAACTGTGAAAATATGGTTATCTCCCAGGCAGAGTATTATATTTCATCAGTTCCAAACTAAACGATGAACCATGTATATGAACCTTGAACTGATTCTTATTTAGGACTGTATTTTCTTGGATTCCTATAAAGAAATACAGGATTCTAGTGAGGGCACAGAGGTCATGTCAGTAAAAAACTTCCCCATGTGGAAACAAAAGATATTTGGGACTGTTTATTTCCTAAATATAACATGCTTACATTTTAAAGTGTTGTTCATATTTTTCAGTTAGACTGAATAGAAAATTAGATAAAAGCCACACTACTACACTGTTTACAAAGAAAACAAAACAACAATACTTTTCTACTTCTTTTTCATTAAAAAGCTAAATGACCTGCCTCTTCCCAAGACTAACTTTGAGTGACTATTTTCCCCTTCCCTTATTAACTGGAGTAAATGTACATTACTTTCTAGCACCCTTTTGGGCAGAAGAAGCTTCAACCACAAAGCAGTAGTGACAGAGGCCCGCTTAAAGGTTAATTAAAAGGGTTCCAACACAGAGAAGAAAAGAACTCAAGCTCCCTGTTCGCTAACCTCCACTAAACAATGGGCCTGAACCTTTTCAAAAGTCATTGGGAAATCAAGAACAATCTAGAGTTCTTACTGCCTCACAAGCCGGAATTCATGTGATGAAAGGGAAAAGCAGCATGCCATTTACACAAACAAGACTAGATCTGCCTGAGGCAAAGTGGCCTGAAGAACCATGTCAGCTTATTCTAGCTTGAGTCTGAGTGTATTTTAGGTAATTACAGCTAGAGAGAGAAAAAAAAGAAAGACAATTAAAACCAACCTGTCAGCTTTCTTATATAAAGACTTAATTATATTTGAACAATTGCCGATAAAAACACCAGGAAGGTGTGACTAAGAGAGTTTATGTCTCACAGAAAAGGCTTTTAAAACCAAGATTCTGTACAGCCTGGAGCCTATAGGCCATCGTCTTTGCAAACTATGTAGCAATAGTGATACATGGCCATCTTTTGAAATACAATTTTTATCAAGATTTTCAAGGTCACTTCATTACTGCCTTCTAACAATACACACATGTATTATGTTTTTGATGGCACTAGAATTATGTTACCAATCTTTTCTGAAGCCATCTTTCTTTATCTCTTGAGCAATCTGTCCCTATAATCATAGTCACCTATAACCTCCACTTGGCACAGTGCACCATCCACCCAAGAGTACCACCTCAATGTCATCTGAAAAATAAGCTAAGAAGAACTAGAGCCTAAGAGACAGCTTTTAATGGGTCATACGTGACCAAAACAGGGCAGACAGCAAGATGGAACGGCAAGAAAACGGGACTGAACGTCAGGAGACTTGATTTCTACTTTGTCACCAGCCAGCTTGGGCAAGTTACTTCACCTCTCTGTGTTTAAGCAGGGGGTAAAACTAGTTATTCCACTTACCTTCCTAGGGTTGTCTGAAGGACACATGAGATAACAGACCCACACAAGCTGTGAAATGCATGAATCAGCGCATTTAGCAGGCTGTCCAAATACCCTATCACACTACATAGATGAGTGAGTGTAAGGGTCAAGGACCTAGAAGAGATGATCACTAAGTTGTTGGGCCGGAATGAACGGAAGAAAAAAGAAGTGTATTCAGTGTGGGGCACTGCCATGAGGGTGGGGGCGGGGAGAGAAGAGGCTGGTTTTGTGGGAAAGATTGTTTTGTGTTTAAGGCAAGACTGGAACAACTAAGTACAAATGTTCTGTAGGCAAGAGGCTGGAGATGAAAAGTAAGTTCTGAACTAGAGTTAAAACAATAAAAATTCCCAGAGAATTTACTGAGAGAAAAAAGCCAGCTTGCCCGAGCCAGTTAATGAGGTGGAAGGGTGGGGGAGAGGAGGTAAGAGAGAGCAAAGATGACTCACTAAGAGAAAAAAATTATTAAGGGAGTGAACGATGGGATGGTACTGCTCTTTCTCTATGTGAGGAAAGAAAGAACGTTTGGGATTGTTACGTGATTCAGGGAGGTCCATAAGAATCAGAACCCAGAAAAAGACCATTAGCTTTGAAGACTGAGAGAACA